ATATGATTACTTAATTGTGACTCGTTTTTATTGTTGCTTGTTTTAACGGAGACGTGGTCTTTTTGGCTTTGGCACTGGTTGTACGAGATTCTCTTCTGTGGTGGTCTCGCATAAACGCAACAGATGCTCGGTTTTCATTTTTTCGGCAACTTTTCGGCAAACAACATGCGGCAAATTCAAATAACAGTAATCTGTCATAAAGAGATCTGCCGCGAACAATTCCAACTCTGGCCTTATCATCTTAGTTGACAGGTATCTTTCACAAGCATCCCTTTCGTATGATATAACGCTCATCCAGCGCTTGATCATCCTGAATCTGGTAATGAAGTTTAATCGGAAGCCATTTGACTGCAATAATTTTATCACCTTTGTAAGGTTCATAGCTAAAGAAAAACTTCGCATTTCAACTGGACTAAATTGCGCAGCAAACATTGTGTCCTCGTTTAAACTGTTTACGCTTGCCCCCTGCCTCAAGAGCAAACACGTAAGCCTGTAGTCGTAGCGTCTCACCGATTCCTGCAAAGGGCTAACTCCGTACTGATCACGAGCTTCGACGTTTGCTTCTTTCTCGATGAGCATATCAAAGATCTTCTCGGCTCGCTCTTCATCGACGCAGTCGGAACAAATTGAATCGCTCAACTTGTCGCATAGGAACCTCGGCCACGCGAGCGCATGCAAAGCCGTTGACATTTCGAGCGGCTGAATATTCGGATTGGCTTCGTGGTCCAGTAACATTTCTACGACGTCCAAATGCCGGAACTTGACGGCCACGTACAAGGGTGAGAATTCCCACGTGTCGATATTGACGTCTACGCCTTGACATATGAAGCGAAGAACCGCCTCCAGGTTGCCCGTCATGCAGGCTGCGTGAAAGTACGTATAACCATGATCGTCCTGATGATTTTCCTCTGAATCCTCCAAAAAATAGTTCACAACTTTCTTGACCGCCGTGCCATTGACATCGAATCTTGCTTTATACCATTCCGTTTCGTATAAGTGATGAAGCGCCGATTTTCCATCTTCGAATCTGAACTCGTGGATTTTCACATCGACAAACTCTTGAAGAAATTTCACTGCTTCTACATGTCTCACCAGCAATGCATTTTTAAAAAATTCTTCTTTTCTCTGGAATAGCTCCTCATCATCCATTAATAGTACATCATCTCTATTGAAGGGCCAAATATCGAGGGTCATGATGTACTTGTGAACACTACCCACTTCGTTAGATTTTATGCTGCTTACAATTGTTTTGGTATTTGAAGAAGAAGTGTTTCGCGAGATTTTTATTATCGCAATGACAGACGTGAACTGCAATACGAATAGAATAACGTTCACTTCAAAAATTAATCCAACTTGACTAGTGCACTGAGTCTAAAACGATTTCGTTCGATGAAATGCCGGAAGTTCCTGTTCTTAACCAAGTCTTACCACGTTGATAGCGGAGTCAGCATAGAGGTTAACCCAGTGTACTTATCTACTAATTTTACTAACTCTCTTGTGGGAGTGAGGCGATGTATTAGGCTGGCCACCTAGCGATCACTTATGAACTATTTAATGTGACGTTCATTGGGCAAATTTCTGCGAAAACTTTGACCTCTCGGCACTAGGAACCGTATACGACACCTACTCTGCTGAGTGCTCGTTATAGAGGCTCACTCCAAATAACGTCGGCAGCTCCATGTGCGCTACTGTCCCATGCCATGCCATCGGCTGCCCCACCAACTTAGCCTCGATTGCGACATGTGCGACATCTACGGCAACTCCGCAAGCTCGATTGAATTTGAAATCGGCGGAAAAATTGAATAATTAAGTGGGGAAATGGCAGAATAGCTTTTTTCGTATGTCATATTTATTCTCAATAAATACCACTTTTTTCTACAAATATTTTGAATAAATAATTCGTATAAATAATGCAGAGCCGATTTTCCATCTTCGAATCTGAACTCATGGATTTTCACATTGTCAAACTCTTGAAAAAATGTCACTATTTTTAAATCTCTCCTCTGCAATGCTAGTACAAAAAGAATATTATTTTCTCGGCAATAGCTCCTTATCGTTTATCAATACTACAGCATACGCACACAAGGGTCCCATATCGCTAATAATATACAATGGTGAATGCAGAAATCTTAAAAAACCATAAAGCTTATGGACTCCAGCGTCCACATCTTCAATTTTTTTTAAAGTATCTGTATTTAATTGTTGCAATGTGCATCTGTCGTCATGTTGTATATGGGTCAGATTCAGAATTTTTCAAATAAACCTGCGGGCGAGGTTCACGGATTTTCCTGAAATTTTGGTATGTTATAGTACATGATAAAAAAGTGACAAAACCAAAATTTTGAACCCCCTCTCCCCCTCCTACCCCCCTCCTCCCCTATAGACGTCCATTTTCCATCTATATTTTTTCTGAAAGCCTGAAGCTATTAAAAAATCTGAAAAAATTCATGAAGGTACTTTTCAACAATCCGAACAATCTTGAATTTTTTCAGATTTTTCGAGTGCTTCAGGCCTTCAGAAAAAATCATTGAAAATTTAAATTATTTTATTTTCGGTGAAATGGTTCGATGTACCAGACCGGAGTATTTTTTTCTGAATTCTGACGTCAAAAAACGATTCCTTGAATTTTTTCAGAATTTTTCATTCATGTCCATTCAGCCTAGAGCTGAAAAACCGCTTTTTTTCACGAAAATAATTTTTTTAAGGCGCTACGGAGCCTCAAAAAATCTGGAAAAATTTTTTTCTCATTTTGTTCATCAAAATACATAATCTCAAATTTTTTCAGATTTTTTAATTGAAGGCGATAGCGTCTGGAGCCGAAAAACGTTATTTTTAACAAAAAAGGTTCCTGGAACCCGATGGTTCCGGTAAAAAAATTTGAAAAAATTTTTTTTGAATTCCTTGTCAAATTTTAATAAATTTTGACCGTCGCAAAATTTCGATTGGAGCTTCCTAGCTCATTCTAGAGCATAACAAAGATTAATGCGAAATTCTGAAGACATTCATCATATTTAAATTTTTTTCAGATGTCTTCAGAATTTCGCATTAATCTTTGTTATGCTCTAGAATGAGCTAGGAAGCTCCAATCGAAATTTTGCGACGGTCAAAATTTATTAAAATTTGACAAGGAATTCAAAAAAAATTTTTTCAAATTTTTTTACCGGAACCATCGGGTTCCAGGAACCTTTTTTGTTAAAAATAACGTTTTTCGGCTCCAGACGCTATCGCCTTCAATTAAAAAATCTGAAAAAATTTGAGATTATGTATTTTGATGAACAAAATGAGAAAAAAATTTTTCCAGATTTTTTGAGGCTCCGTAGCGCCTTAAAAAAATTATTTTCGTGAAAAAAAGCGGTTTTTCAGCTCTAGGCTGAATGGACATGAATGAAAAATTCTGAAAAAATTCAAGGAATCGTTTTTTGATGTCAGAATTCAGAAAAAAATACTCCGGTCTGGTACATCGAACCATTTTACCGAAAATAAAATAATTTAAATTTTCAATGATTTTTTCTGAAGGCCCGAAGCACTCGAAAAATCTGAAACAATTCAAGATTGTTCGGATGGTTGAAAAGTACCTTCATGAATTTTTTCAGATTTCTTAATAGCTTCAGGCTTTCAGAAAAAATATAGATAGAAAATAGACGCCTATAGGGAAGGAGGGGGGTAGGAGGGGGGAGGGGGTCCAAAATGTTGGTTTTGTCACTTTTTTATCATGTACTATAACATACCAAAATTTCAGGAAAATCCGTGAACCTCGCCCGCAGGTTTATTTGAAAAATTCTGAATCTGACCCATATACATTTAATTGTTGTATCTTGTACCCATCTGCTAAAAGTTGCTATTATTATTTTTATGTCAATTTTAATTCTTACTATCTGTATCAATCTACCTCGGGGCCGTATGGGGTTTACCCCACGGTCCCAATAATAAACAAATTAAATAATCAAATCAAATATAAGACTTTATCGTGCTTGACATTTTGAGACGTAACGAAATCAAGTTTCACGGTGGCAAGTTTTGAACACTATAAGCACTCTGTTGGATCTCTTACTGATTTTAGTGGTACTTGCGCTTGATAAAGAGAAACGTTATACGAGATGATCAATGTCCCACGCAAAGACGCTGCCTATTGTTTCGTACTGGCCATCTAGCATTTACTTAGGAACTACTGAACTGTATCGCTTGTAACGAGGCTGAAATGAAAGAGGCTCTCATACAGGTCGTTTTCACAGTCGTCGGTGACGGTCACGAATCGATCAACTGATTTGCCAAACAAACCGAGTTTTAAAGCTCTACGTGACGCTATAATGAGCGCAACGACGCGTTTCGTCTCCCATCTATTTAACATTGAAAAATGATTTCTCCATTATTTTAATGAATTAACGTTATACTTTTCAAACCTAGTATAGTAGGAGCAGTTTACGATGATTTAAATGAAGAAAGAAGTATCAAAATCGAACAACTAAAAACGAAATAAAACGAAGGTGAAACTGCTACTAGCGCTAATAGTTTATCGGCTATTAACGATAAACCAAAAGGGGAGCAGTTTTTTACCCTGCGTCATTGGGACAAGGTTTTCGTCCCCCATCGAACCATATTTATAACATTACAAATAATTAAAAATTAGTGCTAGCTTCGCAGAGCTGGACCTTTCCGTGCGTGACAAGTCGTGTCAGCTGATCGCAGCTGACGCACTCGCAGCTTCGTCTTGGGTGCACTCCTGTTTATTATAATAGGTAATTATTTGCAATAGTCGATTTTTTATTTTTTATTTCAACGAACTCAGTGGCAAAAGCATATGAGTACTCTACCTCTTTCCCCTCCTCCCATACATATCATTACTTAATCCACAAATTCCCTCGCCTCGCCTCATTGAGCGAGTGAGTGAGAGAGAGAGAGAGAGAGCCCCGCTTCGCGCAGCGGACGACGTTTTCAGCCTGCTGCTGCCACGCACTGGCACGATCTGTTCCGCTGCGCTGTCAGTGCAGCGCCGGCGAGTCTAAAGAATAAGTAATAATAAAGAAGAAGAGCTCCTATGACGCTCCAGTGCCTCTGCCTATCATCTCGCTCGCAGCAGCAGCAGCAGCGCAATTATTATTATTGATGATTATTGTGTATTATTTTATTATTAACCACACATTGTGCGCGCGCGCGCGGACGTACGTACGTACTACTATATCCACATTGCGCCAAGACGATTAAAAAAATACATATAACACGCCTTGTGTGTGTACTGCACACTCGTCTGCGAAAAAGAGAGCCGCCGCCGCTGCCACTCGTTGCATTCATATACTGGTGTGTGCCGGCGATATACAACAAGTGGACTACGTGCCGATTCGTACGTACGAGCTAGCCATTCGTGTTGATTGTTGTTATTATTAATAAATACGACTATACGCGCTCTGCGATTTTCCCGAATTTTTTTTTCCCCTCACTCTCGTTTTATTTTCGCATGCACTACTCGATGCAGCAGCAGCAGCAGCATCAGCAGACCGACGCGGAGACGCAAAATGAGCCAATACATCGCGACGAGTATCGAGGGATCGATTCAGAGGATCGTTATCGACAGGCCTCGCAAGCGCAATGCCATTAACGGACCGGTGAGACCAACATCGCGCCTTTTTTTTTTGTATATCATCGCTATTGTAATTCTCGCTTTTACTGTTTTATTTATTTTTGTTTAACAGATGTACCGAGAAATGATAAAAATACTCGATGAATCAGCGAAAAATCGCGAGGTCACGTGTCTCGCGATAACCGGCACGGGCGACTTCTACAGCAGTGGAAATGATTTCGTTAGCAACTTGACGGCGGCCGACGAGTCCGCCACCGATGTGGACGCGGCGACTCTGATTATCCAGTAAGCGTATATGAGCAATTCTTTAAATAAAACGCATTTTTTGAGGTAGAATCGCGGCAAATTTTTTTTTCAACCTACGCGGATACAGACCCCCCGGGAAATGTTTTTGGGGTCCTAGGAGCATGTAACCACGTAGGAACCATTGAAATTTCAATAGTGCTTACTTTTATAGCTACTTTTGTGATTTAGAGGACGAAAAATTATGTTTTCTGGTAAACGCGGCTAGTTACTCAATTTCTAAGTCACTGAAAAAGTATGAAAACTCATTTAAAGATAATAACTGGCTTCTAGGTTCGATAGAAAATTTTCTCAGCTTTCCAATGGTGGTATCAGATTTTCCGATAAGTCGCACATTCACCGAGAAAATCGCCATCTAACGTGCCAAGCTAAATATCTCGAAAAACTCGGTACGGAAAAAGTGATCTTTAAGGTTTATTTTTGATTTTTCCTGTTGAAAATGAGATTTTTCGAAAAATCTGACTGCATCGTGAGAAAATTGAGGAAGGATTTATAAAAAAGACCAAAACACGACTCGCGACGTATGCGCTGTGCAGTGACGTTTTAGGGCCTCGACAACGAGTGATTTTTCTTACATTTGTTCTGACGTGAAACTTCTATACTGGCGTAAATGATCTTATTTGGCGATGCTGTCCGATTTTTGCATCCTTTTTTTAAACTTGAAAAATCTGTCGACTGCTATAGCCAGGGCACCTATAGCGACAGCAGGTAAAAGGGAAACTTTATGTTTTTAGTTTAGCCAAAACTAATGGATTCTGCTTCCATTATTAAAATGTTTTTTCCAAAATTCATTATTGATGATATGATATAGCTAGATAGAAGAGTCGATGAGAAGAAAATTATGATCTTAGTGATTATCAATGGAAAAATTGAACCTCATTTTTTAAAATATATTCATTTATTTGATAAAGCAACATCGTACATAGAAAAAATGATTGCAAACGTGATTATTGTCGCGAGCTTCGACCCGCAGCCGCCAGACAAATGTTAAACAAATCCTTGTTATTCAGCTCCTCCATGATCATTCCACAGCACTCTATCGACAGTAGGTTATGTATCAATTCGCTAAAAGGACCCATGGCCAAATCGCGGAAAAATATTATCGATATTTTCTCGCACAGGCGCAAAGAACAAGCCTCCATAGACTCGGAGGAAAGATCCGGCAATGCGTACGAGCTTGCGAACTTGTAGTCGTCCATATACGTGCGATTTTCCGCCATCTCGTCGAATATTGAATCGGCCAAATCATCGGCATCCTTACTCGTTGAAAAATCCGTACCTTCGTACAATCCATACCTGTCGAAATATCCCATGAGCTTCAGGGCGTCGTCTCGGTTCAGTTCGTAGCCTCTCTTCTGGAGCAGTTCGACGATGGCCAGCAAGCCAGTCGCCACACTCAGTTTAGTTAGAGAATAATCCCTGACACGATTATAGTTATCGAGATCAGCTTCATGCAGATCGCCAAGTAATATACCAGAATCGATGTCTTCGTAGTCATCGGAGTCACTCGGGGTTGGGAAAACGAAGCCGGATACATCGGCACCACAATCAAGTAGACTCTTGACGGCCATCGGCAAACAACTCGCCACGGCCCATTCCAGCGCTGTTCGGCCCAAATTGTCCCGGGCGTCGATCTGCACCGTCCGCTGCCTTTCTGCGTTTATACTTAAAAAGATCCTGATCATGTCGCCGCTGACGTCTCTCGTGGCAATGAGATGCAGAGATGTCAGTCCTTCCGCATTAGCCAACCTCAGATTGGGGCCTTGTCTCAGCAGCGATAGGATCATCTCCGCATCTGCACACAAAATAGCCAAGTGCAACGGTGTGTTGCCCTTATTGTCCTGGGCATCGATTTGCACCGTCTTCTCGATCTCGCCGATGAACTGGAAGAATTGCTCTAACAAGTCCCGATTATCGTCTCTCTGACAAATGACGTGCAGAGGCGTCTGTCCTTCCGCATTGGCCAAACACGGATCGGCGCCTCTTCTCAGCAGCTCTCGGACATTCCGTACTTTATTGCCGTTTTTCAGAACCAAATGCAATGGGGTGTCACCTCCTTTATCTTGGGCGTTGATCAGCGCCGGCCGTTGGACTTCTCCCACGCTCTCAAGTAGCATCGAGATCACGGAGTGAGTAGCATGGTTGCGACTTTGACAGATGCCGTGCAAAGTAGTCCGTCCGTCCTTGTTGGCCTGGCTCGGATCGCGCCATATTTCAGGAGAGTTAAAATAGTCGCTTCTATAGAATACCCCGAATTCGCAGCTGCAACAAAGTACAGCATCGAATTACCTGTTTCTGGTATGAGGCAATTGGGATCCTGGCCGAATTCGAGGAATTTCTCCGCCACGTCGTGGAGGCCATACTTGCAGGCCACGTGGAAGTGCGTGTAGCCCAACTCGTCGGTATAATTTAAGTGGAATTTGTCGTATATTTCAAATAATTTTCTCAACACTACGCTTTTCGAAGTCCTCGAGTTGCATTCGTCTATCTGGTGTACTGGTGTGGTGCGATGCAGCAGTGGCTTACCGTCTTTGCTTAAGTCGGGTTCGTCTTTGTAGCCGCCACGTGCGACGAACTCGACGATTTCCTCACTCCGACTAGACCACTTGATGCTCGCCATGAGAATCCAATCTATCTCTTGCTTTGTGAAAATATCGTGCAGATTTGGAAGTTGTTCCCTCCAATCTCTTATTAATAATTTTAATTCATTGAGAAATTGGTATCCATGGTTTTCAAACTTCCAATGGCAAGATTCCCGTAACCTCTTTAATTTTTCTAATTTTGGATGCTCCACGTATTTGTCGACTGCCTCGCCTTCACCTGTGTACCTCTCGCTATTTGACGAAGACATTGTATATTTCGAACACCAACACACGACACACAAACACTGATTATTTAAAAAGTATATATACTTTTTTGTTAAATAATCACTCGCTATAGTGGATGGGACTTTGCTGCTCGCACTGCGACGTTGTATTTTGTACTGTCTGTAGACATGCACTTTGATCTATGAAGAGAGTAAAAAAACACGAGGTCCAAGCTATATAAGCTATGCGCAGAGGCCACTTAAAACTCGCTGAACGTTCACTCGTACGCGATTGCGCAGAACAAGAGAGACAGAGGTTCATGACGAGACAGAAACATTTGAAATTTTAACTTTTCTTGATTTTGAATGTTTTGTAAGTATATCAATTAAATTATTGATTTGCGTGGATTATAATTTGTTTAAATCTTTAGGCATGTATTATATTAGGTATTAAATCTAATTAATTAATCTATGGAAATCATATACAGTGAAATCTCTCTATAGTGGACACCCATAAAACCTGGAAAACTGTCCGCTATTGGGAAGTGTCCGCTATTCGGAAGAATACGAAGCGGGGAAATATGAAAAAAGAAGAACATTTTTGACTATATTTTTTTTTTTAATCCCCGACGGAAAAAATTGTTCGAGAAAGAGTAAACAAAGATATTAAAACTATCAAATTAAATTGTAAAATGTAATAAAATGTCAAAAAATGTAAAGTCACTAACGATTTCGGACAATCAATGCATTAAAAATGCAGCAATACGCAATTTTCTCGCATGTTATTGTTAAAAATTCGAACAATTAGAGGAGAAACTGTCCGTTAATACCTGAAAATAAGTGTCCACGTCCGCTATTGAGAATGTCCGCTATTTGGAATAGGAGTTACATAAAGAGTTCATAGGAATATTTCATCGTTCTAAAATTGTCCACTATTGGGAAGTCTATTGGGAAGTCTAAAGGCTATTCAGAGTGTCCACTATAGAGATATTTCACTGTATTTATTAATCAATTAATTAATTAATAAATGAATATATGATTTCGATAGAAAATTTTCTCAACTGTGCAGTCAGATTTTTTGAAAAATCTTATTTTCAACAGGAAAAATCGAAAATAAACCTTAAAGATCATTTTTTCCGTACCGAGTTTTTCGAGATATTCAGCTTAGCACGTTTGATGGCGATTTTTTCGGGGAATGTGTGACGTATCGGAAAATTTGATACCACCATTGGAAAGCTGAGAAAATTTCCTATCGAACCTAGAAGCCAGTTATTATCTTTAAATGAGTTTTCATACTTTTTCAGTGACTTAGAAATTGAGTAACTAGCCGCGTTTACCAGAAAACATAATTTTTCGTCCTCTAAATCACAAAAGTAGCTGTAAAAGTAAGCACTATTGAAATTTCAATGGTTCCTACGTGGTTACATGCTCCTAGGACCCCCAAAAACATTTCCCGAGGGTCCGTATCCGCGTAGGTTGAAAAAAAAATTTGCCGCGATTCTACCTCCAAAAATGCGTTTTATTTAAAGAATTGCTCATATATATACATGATATATATATTATATATATTATATGCGGTGGTAATGATGATAAACTATATATGTTTTCTTTCTGCCCCCTTTTTGTTTTGCTTTGAGATTCCCCCCGCGATGATTGACCGATGATCGATTCGATGGCTATTTATTCTTTGTTTTTTTATCAAAACAGAAATTTCGTCGACACTCTGATCAATTACCCGAAACTTTTGATCGCAGTCGTGAACGGCCCGGCCATTGGGATTATGGCCACGACCTTGGCTCTTTTCGATATCGTTTACGCGGCCGAAACGGTAAATACGATTTCACTGATCTTATCTTTATCGTTTTGCATTTAAAAAACACGAGTGCGATATTTTTAAATTTGTCACATATACATATTTATCAAAGGTATACATTTCGACGCCGTTCAGCAAATTGGGACTCAGTGCAGAGGGATGCTCCACTTACACGTTCCCGAGAATCATGGGGCCCTCCAAGGTACGCGCTTTTTTCTTCGTCTTCTTCTAAACATTCTTTGTACATTCACGCGTGTTCCCGTAGGCCGCGGAAATGCTGTACTTTGGTGTACCCCTGAGCGCCAAAGAAGCCGCGGACGTTGGACTAGTCAGTCGCGTTTACAAAAAAGACGCCGTCGATGAAATTTGGGAGCATTTGAGAAAAATTTCCACCCTCTCTCCAGAGGTAAGCATTTGAAAATTGCATCAACTTGAACGAATATTTATTTCGATAATTGCACGAGACTTATAATTTTAGAGTATAGTCGCAACGAAGCAATTGATTAGCCATTGGAACAAAGATATACTCATGAAGGTCAATAGAAAAGAATTAGAAGTTTTGAAAAAAATATACATGTCACCGCAATTCTTAGAAAGAATGGCTAATTTCATGATGAAAAAGAGTAAATTGTAAATAAGTTTGAGATGTAATTTATAGGTCATTATGAATTGTTGAATTAATGTCAAAAGTACTGTAATATTATTTGTACGATTTTTACAGTATTTAATACTGCTACAGGTCACTTATATTTGAACTTTTAAACTCTAGACTTCATAGATTAACAAAATATAATATGTATTACCTATTAATACTGGGTGAGTGTTGATCTCATGTATATTGTAAAGTTAACAACAATTTATTTTTCTACTGAATTTTTTTTTTTAATAAACTTGATTAAAGAATTTACTTTACTTAACATTAAATCCTGCAAATAACACAAGTTTTCATTTAAATCATCGCTCTAGTTAATTAAATAAAGATCTGTTTCTCTTACTTGTAATAGCTCTGAGCTGATTGGTTGCTTGAAATGCTGCCAACAAAAGAAGTTAATTAATAGTAATTTGTTGTTTTGGTTTTTTTTTTAAGACTAAATTGACAATCTCTAGAATTTTCACTTGTAGATAGAATAGGGTATTTGCATGAAAAAAAGTAATGATATTTTTGAAATTAACATATATGAATTATCGATGAATCTTTTTTTTTTAATTTGTCATTGCGTTTTTACTTATAAATTTATCGTTTCAAAAAATACAACTTTTCAAACGGCCGAAAACGCGCCGAAAGCGCTCGAGGCTGTGCGAGCGACCGTGACGTCATACTTATCAGTAGAAGTATATGAGCAATTCCGGAATTTAGTTTCGAATTTTTCGACTAAAAACGGAACAATTTTTTTTCGTTGGACGCATACTTTGAACATTGGGTATTGTTCTTGAAGGTCCTAGGAAGCTAAAAAAATGCGTGAACAATCGAAATTTTAATAGGTAATTTTTTTATAAGCATTTGTGTTCCGAGGAAAAATAATTAGTGCAGGCAAAACGCGCGCTCCATTATCCACCGATCAAAACTTTTCTAATTCGCTGGTAAAACTACTAGTGACCTTGAAAAAATAATCGACACATGTATTTTGAAAGATTTTTACATGCTCTTTCCGATGGTGACCTTAGATTTTTCGAAAAACGCATTATATG